AAGAAGAAACTGGGGTGAGGTGAGGGTGGGGAAAGAATGGGGACAGGGTAATTTCCAGAACCTTTTTTTTTGCCCAAGGAGTACTAGGAACTTAATAAATCTTAGTTCATCTGTCATCTCTATGCTCTGCTAATGACAAGATTAAATTGAAGCTACACTCTCCTGAGTGCTTATCATTTGCAAATGCAGTACTAAGAGCTTTACTCACATCATCTCATCTTATCCCTGCAGCAACCTTGAGTAGGATATTATTATTTCCAACTTAGAGAAGAAACTTAGGCTTAAAGAAGTTTTAAAAACTTGCCGGGTTCCACATCTGGTTAATGGAGAAGTGAGGCTTCAAAAGCAAATCTGTCTGGCCACGGAGGCAGTGTTCTTCCTCTTTGCTAGGTTGCCTCCTTTCTCTGAAGAAAATGAGGCGTGGAAACTATAGAATTCAGGAAAGTGATGGCAGAGCTGAAGGAGATCTTGGGATCTCGGACAGAATACTTTTTCGTGGTTACTAGCTCCGACTTCCTTTTCTTTTCCATTTGCAGGAGTGGGTTGGTATTTGGCCTCTGAAATATGGTTCTAAACTTAAGTCACCAGATGCTTTTAATTTGATTTCATTGGAAAAATATAGTGTGATAAGGAATGCACATGAGAAGATTACTACCTGCCTGACACATAGTAGGCTCTCAATAGTGTGCTGAATGAATGGCCAGAGGAAGGCAACTCCAGCAAACTGAAGATCAATTTTCTGGAGCAACTTTAATAATAAGCTGAGCCACGCATAGCACAGGGAGATCAGCTTGGTGCTTTGTGACCACCTAGAGGGGTGGGATAGGGAGGGTGGGAGGGAGGGAGACGCGAGAGGGAAGAGATATGGGAACATATGTATATGTATAACTGATTCACTTTGTTATAAAGCAGAAACTAACACACCATTGTAAAGCAATTATACTCCAATAAAGATGTAAAATAATAATAATAATAAGCTGAGCCAAACTCCTATTGAAGTTTACCACCTATTTATTTAGAAGAGCCAAATATCAACAGGTGTTGGCTGATTGAAATTACTATTCCCTGCTACCTTTCTAAAAATCAGACCACTGCTCTTGGAAAAAAGAAAATCAGAGTTTAAAATTGTGTGATTACAAATGATCATATTTTGGCTCAAATTTAAAATAAATAAATATATTCCTTTGGTTTTGACAACATGTTTGGAAAACATAGTCTTTGGCTTTGAGTTTTGGGCTGTAGGATGGAGCTGTTGTGTAAAAGTAAATCATAGTTTAGGTGTATTTTCCCAGCTAGCCCTCTGGGTTAGGAATATTCTGCTCATCTGTGGAAACATGACCTCCCAGTGAAGTGCCATGCAAATCATTGGTTTTACATGAAAGCCTATATTAGTCTAGTCACTCACAGGCATCTTTAAGCATAACTGTTGGGTAACAGTCTATGTTTATTGTTATGATAAATGTTTCGTAGCTACTGTTCTCTGGGGTTTTCACAGTAAAGAAGATACTTATCTCATTGGAATTTTAACCACACTACAATTAAAATGAAATGCAATCAATAAAATATTAATTCAGGTATGTTTGCAGATCAACTACTTAATGGCTAAGTCGATATCTATCATTCTTTAGTTTTCTGAAGGTCAATACATAGCAGAGTCAATGAGTTAACCAGCAAATCAGAAATACCTGTCTGTCTAATTGTGGGTCTATTATTAAGTCCTTAATAAAGTGCATGACTTGATGAGAGTTTATGCTGCCTATTCTTTTTAAAACCTTCTGCCAGACTGGGTTGCTACTTTAAAGTCCAAGGTTATTGAACAATATTTTTAATGCTAGATATCAGTGTAATACCATAGGAAGTAGAATCATTGGATGTTAAAGTAAGAAATGGCTATCCAGATCTCTTCTCACCCTTTCTTTTAGAGCAGGGGACACTGAAAATCAGTGAAGATAATTGAGTTGCTCACCGTCACACAGTCAGTCATGGAGCTGGACCTGGAGTCTAGTCTCCTGGTTCCCAGGCCCTTGCTCTCCAAAACACCAAGCTACTGAATTTCAAGATTCCACCCCAGGGTCTGGTTTTGCAGATACTGTGGGTAATTTTCCTTGCCACTTGTGGGTCTGGGCTGTGTTCACTCTTTTCTAAGCAGAATGAAGTAGGAATTAAGTAGGTGAAGGCATAAGGGAGCAGGAGAAGCTTGCACTAACTGAAAATGCAGTCTCATAGTGGCAGGTGCCATGGAGATTTTTTGAGGCTGCTATTGGTGAGGGTGAGCTACCTCTCCCTCACTCAGAAGTGAGTATCTGAAGTGACTAGCACCAAATTTAATACTATGAAAAGTATCACCTCCAAGTCCCAGGCAGAAGTATGGAACTCTTTGGGGCGTCTGCCAAGTAAAATGGGTTATTGAAAAATACTGATATCTCAATTGTCAGTATGGTGTTTTTTATGTAGGCAGTAGAAGTAAAAAACTAACAATGAATTTCCCCACTAATTTTCCACTGCTACTTTCTATGTGAGTCAGCTTTAATCACTTGTTTTACTTCATGCTGGGTAACAAAAAGATTCTAAGCTTTGGTCACTTGTGTAACTCTAGCAGCACTCTACAAAGGAGAAAGCAAAGGTTTTGAACTGAGGTTTTTACTCTTACTGTACAAGCTTATAGCAAAAAAACAAACACAAAGTTATAAGTGGAAATAGCAATTCATTTCAGTTTTTAAGACATTTACTTTCATCACATAAACGGTCACTGGGCAGTTAGAAAATGTTAAAGATGCTTAAGTTTTGCAGTATTATCAAACTGCATCAATTTGCTATCAAAATACAAAAACAAAAGCATTAGCTCCAAAAAATAAAACAAAAACAAACAAAATACACCTACTCTGTTAAACTGATCCACAGCATTTGCTTTGCAGCTCTGTCAAAAATAGTTTGACTGATTTAATGACATTTTCCAATTTGATTGTTAGATAAAGGTCTTTTGTAACAACCAAATCAAGTTGACCACTTCTTATGCACACTTCCTCATTACCTTTTCGTGTCTGAACAAGTTACCCAGAGTCATGAAGTAGAGAGGAGTCAGCTCTTCCTACGAGATGTTTGCATCTTAGCTGTTCAAAAGCACCAGCAGAGGAATGTACCTCTATGTCTTTTGTGTATCTGTAAACTGAAATTACTGATTTGCAGTATAATAAATTGTTAGAACTCGCAGAGGCCTTGGACAACATACAACCCAGTGTTTCCCAGGTGGAGGGATGTGTACCACTAGTGTGTACAAGATAATTTTAGGAGACATATCAATATTGGATGACACAATGAGAAAATTCACTGCATTTCAGGTTTTTGGAGACTTCTAATTATATCAAGAAGAAAGTCTCAGGCTGGTGCTGACAAAGAACTATCTAACAGTTTTCCCTTTCTTTTTAAGAAATAGAAGGCAAGCTTCACGCAACTATGTGGAGCTAGAACTTAATAATACCATATGGTTTTCATTAAATTAATTTTTTCAGGTTACCATCTATTTATGACAGGGAAACAAAACTTCCTTTCAAAACGCATTTATTTAAGTTAAAAATAAAATAAGTTAATTAAAAGATAAAAACTAAGTAAAAATTACTGCAGTGATATTGGCACAGTAGCCCAAATATTAAATAAAGGCTATAGTCACTTATGTGGTAAAAATCATAAAGCTTCTGAGGGGGCTGGAGACCAACTCCCTCACTGGACAGGTGGGAAACCCAAAGCCTTGAGAGGGCAGAAAATCCCGAAGTCAGGAGTGCAGTCCACAGGCTACTCACCAAGTGGATATCACCCCTTTATTTGAATCATTTCTGAAAAATGACTAGTTTGAATCATTTTCCACAAAATGGCCTTCTCCCCATCACTTTGTGAACAATGCACATTAAGTTTGAACTTGAAAAACAATAAAGCGTAATTCTTCATTCCCATGACTAGAAAAGGTTATAGAACAGGAACTGTAAATATTAGGAAAATTAAACTAGATTCCTGAGACATGATTTAGTTAAAAAGAAAAGTGGGAAAAAATTCCCCAGCATAAAACTTTAAAGTTTAAATTCAAAACTAAACAAGTAGTTTTTTTCTCTTTTGAAAATAAAATGTGTTTTGTTTTAAATTTATAAGTCTTGAATACTTGGAAACATAGCAAGACTAATTTTCTAACCAATCATTTTTTTAAATATGTACAAGCTTTCATTGAAATACAAAACTAAAATGCTACTAGAATAAGAGGAAATTTAAATTAAGGGGAAATTATGTGTCTTGCAAATCTTAAATTATAATTAAACTTGCAGTCTGAGAAAAGAATTCTAGAGGTTTTTGTGAAATCCAAAGATTCTTGATAAAAAGTATTTCTTCAAGGCCTGAGAGGAATGTAGGCACAATTTCCTTCTACTAACAGAGAGTCAAGGCCTCCAAAGGTACTGGCCACTCAGCTGAGTATATATTCTAGAGGATGAGGAACAAAATTTCAGAATGACAGAGTGGTCACTGGACTATTGACTTTAAAAATAAATAAATAGAAGGTTTCCTCTTATCATTTAGTTTCTGTGACCCACAAATGACTTTTATATCTTTGCTCTTGCTTAGGAGGTTCAACTGCTTTTTATGTCCTGAAAATATCCCCTGGTCCATCTGTGAGGATTCAGACACAAAGAGCTATTTACTTATTTATCAACACCAGGTCATCCCATAGTTTTATCGTAATTGGAATAGACTCCAATACTCAGCCTTCCATTCAGACGTTTCTTCTATAATGCAATTCCCACTAGCATCCTCTATCTTCGTGTTCACCCTTTCCAGGTGAGTTCAGAAAGAACTGTTATCTCAGGTCTACCTATCCTCATCATTTGTGAAGGATGTTACAGTGGTCCCATTTACGGAGGAGGCAACTGAGTCTCAAGGAGAATAAAGTATATACAGGCATATCTCATTTTATTGCATTTTGCTTTATTGTGTGTGTTTTGTTTTTTTTTGTTTTACAGATTGAAGGTTTGTGGCAACCTGCATGGATCAAGTCTATCGGCATAATTTTTCCAACGGTATTTGCTCACTTCATGTCTCTGTCACATTTTCGTAATTATCACAATATTTCCAATTTTTTCATTATTATTATATTTGTTATGGTGATCTCTAGTCTGTGATCTTTGATGTTGCTCTTACATTTATTTCAGGGTGCCACAAACCACACCCACATGAGACAGCGAACTTAATTGATAAATGTCATGTGTGTTCTGACTGCTCCCCTGACCCGCCGTTCCCCTGTCTCTCTCCCTCTCCTCGGAGCTCTCTATTCACAACAATATTGAAATTAGGCCAGTTAATAACCCTACGATGGCCTCTAAGTGTTCAACTGAAAGAAAGAGTCACACGTTTCTCACTTTAAATCAAAAGCTAGAAATAATTAAACTTAGTGAGGAAGGCATGATGAAAGCTGAGATAGGCTAAAAGCTAGGGATCTTGTGCCAAACAGTTAACCAAGTTTTAAATCCAAAGGAAAATTGGAAATTTTGAAGGAAATTAAAAGCACTACTCCAGTGAACACATGAATGATAAGAAAGTGAAACAGCCTTACTGCTGATATAGAGAAAGTTTTAATGGTCTGGATAGAAGATCAAACCAGCCACAATATTCCCTTAAACCAAAGCCTAATCCAGAGCAAGGCCCTAACTCTCTTCAATTCTGTGAAGGCTGAGAGGTAAGGAAGCTGCAGAAGAAAAGCTTGAAGCTAGCAGAGGTTGGCTCATGAGGTTGAAGGAAACCATAACACCTCCATAACACCAAAATACAAGGTGGAGCAGCAAGTGCTGGTATCTAGCTAAGATCATTAATGAAGGTGGCTTCACTAAACAACAGATTTTTAAGGTAGATGAAACAATATTCTACTGGAAGATGCCACCTAGGACTTTCATAGCTAGAGAGGATAAGTCAAGGCCTGGCTTCAAAGCTTCACAAGACAGGCTGACTCTCTAATTAGGGGCTAATGCAGCTGGTGACTTGAAGTTGAAGCGAATGCTCATTTACCATTCTGAAAATCCCGGGGCCCTTCAGAATTATGCTAAATCTACTCTGCCTGTGCTCTCTAAATGGCACAACAAAGCCTGGATGACAGCACATCTTTTGACAACATGGTTTACTGAATATTTGAAGCCACTGTTGAGACCTACTGCTCAGAAAACAAGACTCCTTCCAAAATATTACTGCTCATTGACGATGCACCTGCTCACCCAAGAGCTCTGAGAAAGATGTACAAGGTTAATGTTATTTTCATGACTGCCAACACAACACCCATTGTGCAGCCCATGGATCAAGGAGTAATTTAAGCTTTCAAGTCTTATTAAGGAAATACATTTCATAAGCCTATAGCTGCCATAGATAGTGACTCCTCTAATGGCTCTGGGAACAGTAAATTGAAAATTTTCTAGAAAGAATTCACCATTCTAGATGCCATTAAGAACATTCGTGATTCATGGGAAGAGGTCAAATTATCAACATTAACAGGAGTTTGGAAGAAGTTGACTCCAACCCTCATGGATCACTTTGAGGGTCTCAAGACTTCGGTGGAGGAAGAGCTACAGATGTGGAAATAGCAAGAGAACTAGAATTAGAAGTGGAACCCGAAGATGTGACTGAATGGCTGCAATCTCATAATCAAACTTGAACAGGTGGGGGGTTGCTTCTTATGGATGAGAAAACAAAGTAGCTGAAATCTGCTCCTGATGAAGATGCTGTGAAGATTACTGAAATGACCACAAAGGACTTAGAATACTACATAAACTTAGCTGATAAAGCAGTGACAGGGTTTGAGAGGACTGACTCCAATTTTGAAAGAAGTTCTACTGTGGGTCAAATGCTATCAAAAAACACTTCATGCTACAGAGAAATCATTTGTGAGAGGAAGAATCCACAAGGCAAACTTCATCATTGTCTTATTTTAAGAAATTGCTACAGCTACCCTAACCCTCTGCAACCACTACCCTGATCAGTTAGCAGCCACCAACATCGAGGCAAAATCCTCCATCAGCAAAAAGATTATGACTCGCAGAAGCCTTGCATGATGGTTAGCATTTTTTTAGCAATAAAGAAGGTATGTACATAATTTTTTAAATAATTAAGATATGTACATTATTTTTTGTACATGCTATTGTATACCTGATAGACTACAGTAGTGTAAACATAACTCTTTATGCACTGGGAAACCAAAAAATTTTTGACTCACTTTATTGAAATAGTCACTTTATTGCAGCAGTGTGGAACCAAACCTGCAATATCTTCAATGTTTACCTGTACCCTAGCTGATGGAGGAGAAGGCAGCTTAGTTAGCTATAAAAGTATTGATTCTTTTTGGTAAAAAAAAATCACTTACTTTTGTTTCCAGGGTTTCTGACTCAGCGGTCACCCATCTTTCATGTCAGACCTCCTTCACTGGCCTACTGCTTGGCTCTTCTACTCAGCAAATAGGGGTCACGTTATTATTTGAATTGAAGTCACCTGGATTTTTTCCACCACTGACCCACCCCCCAGCCCCTGTGAACAGCACATATACCTTTGCCCTTTAACCAATTACAGAAGAGTTTTCTTGTTCTCTATTATCCTTTAAGTACTTAAAGAGAGCTTTAACTAATTCTTTAAAGAAAGCCACTACCGTTTGCAGCGTTAATAATTCATTTGTAAAAAATTAAAAATTTGTAGTGAGGTATTATAAATTGAAAACGTTATTTGGTCTTTTGGTTTCATCATACTTGCCTGAGGAAATGAGCAGGAGCTTAAAATCTGTTCCTGGGGCTTCCCTGGTGGCGCAGTGGTTGAGAGTCCGCCTGCCGATGCAGGGGACACGGGTTCGTGCCCCGGTCTGGGAAGATCCCACATGCCGCTGAGCGGCTGGGCCCGTGAGCCATGGCCGCTGAGCCTGCGCGTCCGGAGCCTGTGCTCCGCAACGGGAGAGGCCACAACAGTGAGAGGCCCGCGTACCGCAAGAAAAAAAAAAAAAAATCTGTTCTAATGTTGACCCCTCAGATATATAATCATCATGGAAAAGTGAAGACCTTGGAATTGTTTGGAACTTGGTTTTGTCAAGGCAAATGGCTTTACCTTTTATATGTTTTTCTCTTCTTTATTAGTGCTACAGCCGATAATTATAATCAAGTAGCCCAGAACCATGTGAATTAAATTATCCTGAATAATAATGCGTTTGGTTTTTGCCCAGTATGAAAGGACAAGGATATAAGGCCAAAGGGGAAATTTATCTTTCATCCCTCCTTGATGAATGGTTTCTTTAATAATAATAAAAAATTATCAAATTTTAAGGTGGTTTTCCTTTTCATGGCTTAATTCTACATCCATTTTAGGGAGAAGGAGTTGAAATCTCTAACGGGTGGTTGCACTCATTAATTATTTACATTGAACGTAATGTTTGCTTAGTATCTAATATATCTAACCAGACACTCAATGTTATGTAGACATGTAGATAAATGTGGATGAACAAGACACAGGCCTTAGAATTTGACCAAGGAGAAATGTGTGTAAGAAATTAATTATGATAAATTGGGAGATTGGGATTGACATATATACACTAATATGTATAAAATGGATAACTAATAAGAACCTGCTGTATAAAAAAATAAATAAAATAAAATTCAAAAAACTAATAATAAAAATAAATTAAAAAAAATAAATTAATTATAAGAGTGTGTTTTAATGATGAAACTGGGAAAGATTTCACAGAGGAGATCACATTGAATATGGTCCCAGAAGACTGAGTTTGCTGTCTTGGAGGGGGCAAGAAGAACATTCCACATAAAGGGAATAATTATGCAGATATACGGACAGATGCAAGTTGGAAATTTTATGTTCAGGAGGTAAATAGCTCAAAAACTCAAATTTGAAGTCAAAGTTTATCAAATTTTTGTCTCTCCTTCAGTCCTTTAAGAAGTCTAAGTTGTTAAGATGATAGTGATACCATTTTAATCGGATGCATTGTTTAATTGCTTCAATGATCAGACTTAAATAGTCTTTTCACAGTATCTCTCCTCCACAATCTCTGATAGGCCAGAAAGGTGTCAGCAGAAAAGTGAGCTGACATTGGGAGCCCTGAATGGTGACAGACTGGTCACTTTCTCCAAAACACGAGTGCTCATGAAAGAGCATGTTGTAAGATGCTTAAGCACCGTGGTCTAGATGCTATCTTAAAATGGCATGGAATTGGTAATGACGCCTCAGCTTAGTGGGTCTAAAGCTTGGGGTTGAGAGAAGGTTTTTAGATTCATTTAGCATCATATATCTGAGGCAGGGAGACAATGATGTGAAAGTGGTAGCCCGTGTTCTTTCGCAAATGACTATACAGGAGAGTGAGGTTGTCACAGAAGTGCCCTTTGTATCAGGAAACATTTTGGCAGAGCATGAGATGGTTAGACATTTCTAAAAAGCATTAGGATTATTTTTTTACTTTCCTTGTGATAATAATTTTACATTTAGGTAATCAAGTATCACTCTATAGCAAGTCATCTACTTTAGGTATCTTCATGTATTCATTTAAGATGATTCTATGCAGCAGACTCTTAGGTGCTAGGCATATAACAAAAGAAAGAAAAAAGTCCATAACTCCTTCCCTTAAGGTGCTACCATTGTGAGATTGGGAAGAATATGTTAATGTGCTGAAAGGCAGTCTGAAGACTTTAGGAACCACAGTCCCTTTGGGCCGGCACTGCAGCAATGGGAATGGTAAAAGCTCAAGATTAAGAGAAATCATTCCAATGGAAACTACACCCCATATAGTCATTTGAAACCTACCTCCTTTAGAATGGATAAACTTTTTCTCAAAGAATATAGTAGTCTGGAAATCTCAGGATGCCATAGAAGTGGATGTCCAAGAACATTCCTGGAAAAATACTTCAGGCCACTTGGATAAAGCCAAGAATCCACTGCCTACTCCTACTCCAGCCATACCCTTCAAAGTAATTCATCAGAATTCATGCTGTCTTTGATGAGGCAGTAGGAGCTGACGTCTAATTTTACTGTAGATCATAAGTAAATATTAGCTTAT